CGCTGTCCTCCTGCCTCAACCTCCCAAGTGCTCAGTGACCTTTTTATTTTCTTAAAATCCTATTTGTGCTGATACCAGTGCTTGAACTCAGGGATCGTGTCCCACTGGCTTAAACCCCGTTGGCATTCTACCACCTGAGCCACACCTCCAGTCCAATCATTTTACTACTTATTTGGAAATAAGGGTCTCTTGGACTTTTCTGCCAAGAGAAGTCTTTTGGGCTTCAAGTTATGAACCTATCTTCGCTTCCTGACTGGCAAGGCTTACAGGAATAAGCCACCAGTACTCGGCTCTGGGTGACCATTTTCAATAATTAAAATAATAATTTTTAGCTGAGCACTGATGACTCACCCTTATAATCCTAGCTACTCAGAGGCTGAGATCTAAGGGATCAGTTCCAAGCCAGTCCAGGAAGGAAAAGTCTGAGATTCTTATCTCCAATTAACTACCAGAAAACGGAAAGTGAAGCTGAGGCTCAAAGTGACAGAGCACTAGCCTTGAGCAAAAAGCTCCCAAACAGAGGCCAGGCCCCAAGTTCAAGCCCCACAACCAAAATAAGAACAACAATAATAATTTTAAAGCCTAATAACCTAAATTTGTCAAAAAATAAAGATAATCTTGTACAAAAAGGAAGATTAATTACTAGCAGACTTACTGTTAGAAATGTTAAAGTTCATTAGACAGAAGAAATATGAATGAGGGCTGGGAAGGTGGCTCAGTGGTAGAGTGCTTGCATCGCATGCATGAGGTCCTGGGTTCCATTCCTCAGCTCCACATACACAGAAAAAGTCGGGAATGGGCGCTGTGGCTCAAGTGGTAGAGTGCTAGCCTTGAGCTGAAGAGCTCAGGGACAGTGCCCAGGCCCTGAGTTCAAGCTCCACGACCACCACTACCACCACCAACAAATATGAATGAGATTATAGCATTTGGGTCTACACAGAGAAAAATGCTGGAAGCAGAACAAATTGTTATTTACCCGAGATGAAAAGATGTTCACACAAAAAACAGTGACTTTATAGCAACTTTACTCATAATTGTCAAAACTGGAAACAATTCTAGCATCCTTCACCTAGTGAATGAATGAGTAACGGGGCATTGTTAGAGGAAATGGAGGGGAGAATAGCTATAAGGGGAAGCATGAGGAAATTTTGGGGTTCTCTAACTATTCTGTATGGACCTGTGGTGGTGGGTACTCATCTTGATGCCACTTGTTAAAATCCATAAACTTCCCCAAGGAGTGAATTTTAATGAAATAAAACTTAAGTCTACCAGGATGTAGAAAGAGCATGAAGGGGCTGGGAAGGTGGCTCAGTGGTAGAGCGCTTGCCTTGCATGCATGAGGCCCTGGGTTCAATTCCTCAGCACCACATAAGCAAAAAGAAAAAAGCCAGAAGTCGCGCTGTGGCTCAAGTGGTAGAGCGCTCGCCTTGAGCTGAAGAGCTGAGGGACAGGGCCCAGGCCCAGAGTTCAGGCCCCACAACTGGACCCCCCCCCAAAAAAAAAGAAAACTAGGTCAGAAAGAGCATGAAGACTGAGGAAATGAAGGTGACTGTCTTGACAAAACCACACTGAAAAGGTTGGGGGAAAATGTAACAGATTTAAATATCCAAGGATATTTAGTTTTGAGTAGATACTGGAAGACTGAAAAGAACAATATACAAACGAGTACTCTGGTTGGCAAACTTATTTCTCACAGAAACAAATGGTGTAGTTTATGGGCACTGGTGTAACAAACTACTACAGTTAATGTGATGCATACCTGTAGTCCCAGCTCTCAGGAAGCTGAGGCAGAATGATCTCATATTTGAGAGCATGCTGGGCTAGACAGTGAAATTGTCTCAAAATAAAACAAAAAAATGAAACTGTGTAAGGAATATGTATTTCTTGTATTATGGAGGGTACAGGAATATTTAATATATATTACATTTGCTTACCTAAACTGTCGTAATTGTTTTTTTTTTGGCTGTCCTGAGGCTTGAACTAGGGCCTGGGCACTGTCCGTGAGCCTCTCTGTGCTCAAGTCTAGCACTCTACTTCTTAAGCCACAGCACCACTTCCAGCTTTTTTCTGTTTATGTGGAACTGAGGAATTGAGCCCAGGGCTTCATGCATGCTAGGCAAACACTCTATTACTGAGCCATATTCCCAGTCCATTATTACATTTTTTTGAAAAGCTTCCTGGGCTGGATGTAGCTCAGGGAGTCTCTGTCACAAGTTTTCAACTCTGCCACAGTAGGAAGAAAGAGGCTACAGCCAATTCAGGTGGAAACGGTGTGGTGGTATTCTTTAAGGGTGGCACACTGATCTGTAAGACTGTAAGAATTCAGTTAAGTTTAACTAAAAGCACACCACAAGGTGGAGCTCTGACCACTTTCAAAGGCTGCAGTATTTTACCCACCAGCAGCTGCATGCCCAATAGTAGGTGCACCTGTCTTCTAAACCCTAACAGAATCCACTACCTCCTGCCAACTTCACACGTGTCAGACACTAGGAAAGAGAAAAACAGATGGGTCTTTCTGCAGGCATTAACTCTGAAATTGAGACAACTCCGGTTTTCCAGGAAAAATAAAACGAGGGAAAACTTGACATCTGCTTGTTTCTGCAATTGTTCTGTTAGAAATTTTAGCTGGACAATGGTTGCTCGTGCCTGTCATCCTAGCTACTCAGGAGGCCGAGTTCTGAAGATCATAGTTGGAAGCCAGCCAGGGCTTATCTTATCTCCAACTAACCAGCAAAAAGCCAGAAGTGGAGCCATGTTTCAACTCATAAAGGGCAGCTTGGAGTGAAAAAGCCAAGCACAAGTGTGAAGTCCTAAGTTCAAGCCCTAGTACTGGTACAATAAATATCCTGCGTGTGGCAGCAGAAAATGTAAGAAGCCCTCCCCCAAACTACCTTCCCATCCATTCTTCATCTTTCTTTCTTCTACTGTATCCCTAATTCCACAAAATTCATCCAAACACAAGAATTGCCTCTGGTATTCTGGGTCAGAGACACTGAGTTAACCGATAATACAGAAAAAAAAACAAAAACAAAAAAAACACCAGCATCCCATAAAGTCCAGCCTCTAGTAAGTAGAATCCAGTCCTATATTAGGATCTTACTTTCCAAACTGACAAGCTACTTAAAAGATAAGGCTTTTAGGACATCCCATAAAGCATTTTCTCTGTAACTGAGTATATTCTGCTAGAACTGCTTTTCTGATATGTATCTCCTTATACTTACAACTGAAGGCTGAAGAACTAGAGATTTAAAAACAAATATCTCCAAAGAAAATTCCAGCGGCCAATATGTACATGAATGCTCCAATCTGTACCCACATGGAAGCTCAGGATGGTCAGTGTTTACAGAAATGCAGACCAAAACCAAGCATGGCTCTGTCTCCAAAGTACAAAACCAAACCAAAATGCAACACTAAAAACCAACCTCCAGACCAAAATAAATGAGATAGCACTTTAGATATACTCAGTGTGGCCATTTAAGCAAAAAACTTTGAGAGGAAGCGGCACTGTGGCTCAAGTGGTAGAGCACTAGCCTTGAGCTGAAGAGCTCAGGGACAGCACCCAGGCCCAGAGTTCAAGCCCCATGACCTACAAAACAAAACAAAAATTTAAGAGGCTGGAAGGAGGGGAATGTAGTTCCATCCATGAGTGGATCTCCAGCACCTGGGACGGGGGAGTAACAACCAAACATAACAAGTAACAAATGTTGGCAAGGATGTGGAGAAACTGGAACCCTCTTGAATTACTCTTGGGAATACTAAAATGGTGCAGCCGTTGTGGAAAATGGGTTGGCTGTTCCACGGAGTTAAACATAGAACTATCATATGACCCAGCAACCTCAGTCCTAGGTGTACATCCAAGTCAGCTAAAGGAAAGGACTCAGGCAGACACTTGTACGCCAACACTTAATTCCCCACAGACGAAAATTAGAAACAGTTCATGACCGTCAACAAATGAATGAGCAGCATGGCACATGCGTACAATGGAATATCACTCAGTCATAAAATGCATTTTGACATGGGCTTCCACATGGGTGCACATGCTGAGTGAAGACAGACAGGCCAAATATTTTATGGTTCCACTTATATGAGGTATCTAGAATGGGGGGAAATCAAACAGAAAGCAGAACTGTAGTTACCACAGGCTGGAGGAGGAGAGAATAGGCACGGAGTTAATTTCAGTGATGGTGGCAACGTTCTGAGTACACATAATAAAACACTGTGCTCCTATTTAAATGTCACTGTACTTACAAATATTATGTATATCTCATAATTTAAAAAATCCCAATGATCACAGTTAGCACTGAGTTAGTGCTCACAGTGCCCACATAGGTTTGTTTTCCACTTCATGCGGGCATTGCTAGAGTAGGCAGGCAGGCAGGCAGTCCAACACAACCAGGAGCAAATCCAAGCACAACTTCCAGACCAACCAGACACCACATAGTCCTTATGAAGGGCAGCTTCAGAACACTTGAAACTCATTAAAAACCATATACACTTTCTTTTCTAATTAAAAACCACTGTTTTTTGAGTTTTGAGGGAGGGCAAGTCAGGCTACCCTCAAACTCAGATCCGACTTTTGCCACCCAAGTGCTGGGTGGGATTGCAGGTATGTGCTACCATGCCCTGCCTCTACTTTACTTACAAGCATAATCAATACTGAACATTTTTTTCAAAAAGTCTTCTTGTACAGAATTTGATAAATTGAAAATAAGTTGGTTGTGGGAAGGTTTCTGATGACCAGGATCAAGATACAGTAGCCCTAAAGGTTAGGAATTTGTATCCAGCATCCTCAAAACTAAAACATAGCATGGCCTACTTTCAAAGTGGGTATGTATTTTACCATGTCCTTCAATCCATAACACATTTCACTGGGAAAAGATGGTGCTGACTCTGCATAAGTCTTCTCATACATCATCATGTTAGGGGAGATGAGGGGCTAGTAGAAAATATGCATTTCTGTAGTATACTTGGTATGAAAAGTAGACCTCTACAACTTAATCTTAAAAGGAATAAGTTCCAGGAGCTTTTTATTGTTTCATCAACTGTACACATATAACCAGGTAGAGAAGTCCCCAATTGATGATCATGTCTCACTGTTATCTGCCCTTTGGTCCTTCATCTTCTAAGCACTTTTCTTTTAATGATATTAGACATTCACTCTGATCACAACGCAATCCAAGTGTGTATAAATAAACGCAGCGTCATTTATCCTCCTCTCATGTTCCTTTAAATAGAAAATAGTGCTCAATGTCTCTTCATGGCCTACTTGGCCACAATTGTCCCACCTATAGTTGTAAAAACAGATTGTATGTAACTTGATCTGAAATCCTTCTTGAACTACAGCTCATTCGGTTAAAGAAATCCTGGGAAAGAAATCTATTGATATTGTCGATAGTCTCCAAAAGGTGAGGATGGCAACTGGCTTGCAGGCAACTGGGAGGGGTCTTCAGCAAACTGAGGACCTGCAATCCAGAAACAAAATGGAGTTTTGAGAGAATGTGAGAATCATGCATTAAAAAGAACATGTCTCTGGAGAAAGTGACCCCATCGGATTAAAAATTAGGTGCTACTTAACTGCAACCTGAATTTCTCTACAGATCTGCCTACCTCCAAGTTCAGTGTAACATGATGGACCAGTCTTCCTAATGCTTCCGAATGGCAACCAAGGACATTACATCACATGGACGCATCAGATCAAGAAGGAACCACTCCTAAAGCAGTTGCTGCAAGAAGTTGTGATCTATCAAGACTGGAAGAGTACACTAAAACATGTACTTTGTCTTTTGGTCTTTTAAAACATGTACTTGTAGCCCGGTGCCGGTGGCTCATACCGATAATCCTAGTTATTCAGGAGGCTGAGATCTGAGGATCCGGTTTGAAACCAGCCCAGGCAGGAAAGTCCTGGAGACTCTGATCTACAATTAATCACAGAAAAAGCACAGAGTGGTACTGTGGCTCAAGTGGTAGAGCACTAGTCTTGAGCAAAAGGAGCTCAGGGATAGCACTCAAGCCCAGAGTTCAAGCCCCAGGACAGGCAAAAAACAACAACAAAAAAACCCAAACATGTACTTATGTCTGTTTTATTTCATTAGATTATATGTGTTCTTGATGTAAATGCAAAAGATTTCTTCCTGACTTACCACAGATGTCAACTTTGCATGGTACTTAATAATAAAGGAATCACTAACCTCTTAAAAAAAAGACTGGCCCAGCACCATGGCTCACGCCTGTAATCCTAGCTACTCAAGAGGCTGAGATGTGAGGATCACAGTTCAAAGCCAGCCTGGGCAGGAAAGGCCGAGAAACTCTTATCTCCAATAAACCATCAGAAAACCGCAAGTGGCGCTATGGCTCAAGTGGTAGAGCACTTGCCTTGAGCTGAAGAGCTGAGGGAAGAGTGCCAAGGCCCAGAATTCAATCCCCATGGCCAACCAAAAAAAAAAAAAAAGACCAGAAGACGCTCTCCTACCTCTTGATGTATTGTTCAATAGCTTATTTAAAATTCTTTTCTCAAAGTTTAAGTACCATAATCCTGTTTTAGAAGAACTCAGCAATCCAACTTTATATAAGCAATTATTATGGAAGGGACTCTAAAATGAGAAGACAGCCCCCAGCTTGCTACACAACAATCACAAGTTTGGTGTTCAAAGGACAGAGCCTGGGACTAGGGGAAAAAAATACAAGGCTCTTACAAGACTTTGAGAGAAAATTTAAATCTTTTTTTTTTCTTCCCCTTCAGGGAAACTAAAGTAGATGAGAAAAAAAGCAAAAAGAAAGAAAGAGAAATAAAGTGGAAAAATGCCCTGAAGCTTTCCAAGTACTTCACTCCATGATACTTTTTTAATTCAATATGAAAGTACTATCCATTATAGAAAACTTCAGAACGCTGGGTAAAAGAGACAAGTCAAAGATACACATCATTACCACTTCAATATAATTCTAGCCAATCTTTTTACATTCTTTAAAAACCTTTGTTGTCAACTACTGTTTTTTTTTTTTGCTAGTGCCAGGGCTTGAACTCAGGGCATGGGCTCTGTCCCTAAGCTTCTCTGTGTTCAAGGCTAGAGCTCTACCACTTGAGCCACAATGTCACTTTTGGCTTTTTCTCTTTAAGTGATACTAAGCAATCAAACCCAGGGCCTCATGCATGCTAGGCAAACACTCTACCACTAAGCCACATTCACAGACCTGTCGACTACTGAACACTACTTCAAACATCTGAAGAATGACCAGAAATTTCTCAGACTAGGTAGATGAACACCGTTGACATCTGAGCTATATGAAGAAAGACCAACAAATTAAGTAACCAAAGCATTCTTTATCACTGTGGCTAGCTAAACATAATGGATATGTTTTTCAACATAATAGTTACTTTTTCTACTAGAAGCTGAACCTATTACTATAGTCTTCATAATACACAGCACATTAATATTTAATAGAGATATCAGCAACTATCCAATTTTAGCAATAAAGTTGTTCCCTCATGACATCAGGAAACCATTCCAAAGTGTCTGAGATATGATATTGAGAAAGAAAACTCACCATTGGGAAACTGTGCAGAGGCAAATCTTGTCAACAAGATACCAGCTCCTTCAATTAAAGCTAGGAGAATGCCTCCCATTGCTGCTGACCCAACCATGGCCACCGGTCCGTCTGAAGACATACATCAGTAACAAAGACTACTTTAAACAGCTGTCCATATGGTGATTTGCATCTTCCATTCCTAAACCCACATTGCAAACTACATCCTACAGGTCCAATTCAGCCCACTGCCAGCCTTTGTAAATAAAGCTATACTGGAATACAGGCATATTCTCCCATTTATGTACTGCTTGTGGAGGCTTTCATGCCAGAATGGCACAGCTCATTGACTGTGACAAAAACCACAGTCTACAAAGCCTATCTGAAGATTATTTTTGTTTGTAAACAGCCCAAAGGAATTCTCATTTGCCCTCAGTCCCAAAGATTCAGAAGATGGCTTAAAATTTTTTATTCCTAAGAATCCTATGTGGTCTGTAGGATTCATGAAAACAGAGCATGGAAATTCTGCTCAGTGACACAGCCAATAAATGGCTCAAAATGTTCTTAACCACTGTAATATATGGTTAAGAACTCCCGGGGCTGTGAAGGTGGCTCAGTGGTAGTGCTTGCCGTGCATGCATGAGGCCCTGGGTTCGATTCCTCAGCACCACATAAGCAGAAAAAGCCAGACATGGTGCTATGGCTCAAGAGGTAGAGTACTAGCCTTGAGCTGAAGAGCTGAGGGACAGTTTCCAGGCCCAGAGTTCAGGCCCCATGACTGACAAAACAAAACAAAACAAAACAAAAAGACTCTATGCTCTCAAGAGCTGGGAATGTAGCTCAGTAGTAAAGTGCTTGCATAGCATGTGCAAGTGCCTGGGTTTAATTTCCAGCACTGGAAAAACAAAAGGAAATCATATAGTTTAGCTATAAATCCCAGCATTCAGGAATTTGATGCAGGAGGATCAAAAGTTAGAATGTGTCCGGGTTGGGCTACTTACCAAGTCCCTGTCTGAAAAAGCAAACAGCAACAAAAAGTACATTCTCAAGCATTCTAAGTAAACACACCCCTCCCCGACCTTTTTTCAAATCACCACATATATTCACACATGCATGCTATACCAAATGAAGCAATGCTCAGCTAGCTTTCTATACTGCAGATGTCATCACGTGGAAACCGATGGCTTCCACTAAGGTGTCTGTAATGACAGCTTACTTCTGGCGGCCAGGATGGCTCCCGTTAAGGCACCACTAGTGATGGAGTTCCAGGGATCTTCTTTTCCTCTCACTTGAACCATACTACAGTCAATCATGGAGAACAGACCACCCCAAATGGCAAAGCTACCTATTTTATTAAAAAAAAATACTAATTTCAGTTTTTGTTTTTACCTTATATTATCAAGTATAAATCTAAATACCACTTTCTGTTTAAATCAATACTGAACAACTATCAAAACACTTACCTTTAAATAAAGCTTGACTGTACTCTATCAGCTAGAAAATTAGAAATGGGCCAACACTTCTAAGAAAGCACACAAGGGGCTGGGAAGGTGGCTTAGTGGTAGAGTGCTTGCCTAGCAAGCATGAAGGCCTGGGTTCCATTCCTCAGGATCACATACACAGAAAAAGCCAGAAAGTGGTGCCATGGCTCAAGTGGTAGAGCGTTAGCCTTGAGCAAAAGAAGCGCAGGGACAGCGCCCACACCCTGAGTTCAAGCCCCAGAACTGGCAAAAAAAAAAAGAAAAAAAAATCACACAAGGACTGAAGATATAGCTTTTTTTTTTTTTTTTTGGTCGGTCGTGGGGCTTGAACTCTGGGCCTGGGCACTGTCCCTCAATCTTCAGCTCAAGGCGAGCGCTCTACCACTTGAGCTACAGCGCCACTTCCGGTTTTCTGGTCGTTTATTGGAGATAGGAGTCTCATGGTCTCTCCTGCCCGGGCTGGCTTTGAACCGCGATCCTCAGATCTTAGCCTCCTGAGTAGCTAGGATTATAGGCGTGAGCCACCAGCGCCTGGCTGAAGATATAGCTTTGAACTAAGCCTCTTGCCTAGCATGCCAAGGTCCTGGGTACAATCCAAGACCGCAAAACAAACTAAAAAGAAATTAGGCAGGCCTAAAAGAGGTTGTAAATGTCTAAAACTCTATAAACTCTGAAGCTTGAACTCAGGGCCTCAAACTACTACTTGGCTTTTTTTGTGCAAGGCCGCTGCTCTACTACTTTAGCCATAGCTCCACTTCCAGTTTTTACTGGATAGCTGAAGATAAGAGTCTAATACACTTTTTCTGTTCAGGCCGACTTTGAACTTCAATTCTCAGATCTCAGCCTCCAGCCTCCTGAGTATATAGGATAACAAACATGAGCACAAGAGTCTAGCTTAAAAAGGGGTAAACTTTTTCATAAAAAGATTATCTCTGTTTAAACAACAATAACCAAACTAACTCACCCTACTACCTCCTTTTCTTTTTATAATTTTGCTTATTTTTATTTTCCCTTTGCTCACTAAGTGACACTTAGTCTATGAAAAACAATGATGAAAGAGGGAAAAAAAACAGTTATTCTGGAATGTACTATAGGCATAATCAATGCATGCTGAAGTGGCAAATGGAATGCTACAAATAGTTAAAATGATGAAGTGCCAAATGAGCCGACCTTCCCTCCCTCCTCCTTGTCCTTCATTACTGAAGCACAAAGCTAAAATCAACCTTAACCAGATTTCTTTGTACATAAATTCCACCTAACACACACATATACACAAAACAATTTTGTAAAATAAACAAAGAACCCTACACACATATACTAGTAAAAGCAAAATCTAGAAAAAATACCACCAAGACTTTAACTGTCAGCCATTTTGGGTCATATAACAGGTGGCATGATTTGGGTTTTTCTAAATTAAATACACTTATCTGTGTCAAGAGTTGTTATATTGAACAAAACCTAAGTCAAGAACCTACAGGAGTGCTGTGGCTCAAAGTGGTAGAGCACTAGCCTTGAGTTAAAAAGCTCAGATACAGCACCCAGCCCTGAGTTCAAGCTCCACAACCAAAAGATTAAATTAAATTAAATCAACTTAGCTGGGTGCCAGTTATGCCTGTTAGCCTAGCTACTCAAGAGGCTGAGATCTGAGAAGTGTGGTTCAAAGCCAAAGTGGGCAGGAAACTCCAGGAAACATTTATCTCCAGTTAACCACCAGAAAGCTGAAGTGGCTCTGTGGCTCAAAACCTTGAGCACGAAAGCTCAAGGACAATGCCTAAGCCCTGAGTTCAAGCCCCACAACCAACGAAAGAAAGAAAAGAGAAGGGAGGGAAGGGAGGGGAAGGGAGGGGAGTGGAGGAAGAATGGAAAGAGGGGGGAGGGTGGGAGGAAAGGAGGGAGAGAGGGGAAAGGGAAAGGGAAAAGGAAAGGGAAAGGGAAGGACAGGGATATGGTCTGTGGTAAGTTGTTAAATCAAACTAAAACCATTAACTCTATAAAATGGTGAAAATAATAACAAAACTAAACCAATAACTAGAATAACCAAAAGAAAGAAAAAAGTTTTCTAGGCATAATGGTGCACACTTGTCATCCTAGAACTTGAATGAAGCAGGATGACTGCAAGTGTGGGGGCCAACCTGGGCTGCAGAGCAAGACCCTGTCTCAAAAAACCAGGCAGGCAGGTATGGAGGGAGGGAAAAAGGGAGACAGTATGGTTCCATCTTCAAATAAAAAGGAAAGAATAGTCTTATACAAATGGAAAAGTTCTGCTTACCTCCCAACTGGGGAGCCCTGGTTTTAATAGCTGTCAAACTCCCTCGTAGTCTGTGGTTCACTCCCTATAATAAAACAAATCTAAGCGGATCAATATAGAATGCATTCGGACTAAATACACTTCTAATCCACCCACAAGGCCACCTGCAATATTACCAAACCATGGGTCCAAGGGATGACAAGAGAAGTCCATCCACTTACCACAGGAGAATTTCGAAAACCTTTAATGGCTTGGAAGATGCCACCACCTATGGTACCCATTGTAAAGGCTCCACCACAGTCATCCACAATTCTCCAAGGGCTGAGAACAGATGAACAAAAGATCACCTTATTTCCTATCCATGATCCATATTTTGGTAACAGAGTAAGGGATATAGCAGATCCCAAAGCAGGATTCATTGCAACCAATAAATGTTTGGCCTATCAAATATAGACAAAGATAACACCTACTGAACTCATTCATATCATATTCAGCCTCTAGTCATCTAACCAAGAAAGAATGGAATGGACATTCACTTTTTTCTTGTTAAGGTATGTTTTCATGAGATTCGAGGACCAACCTGGACTCAGACTCCCAATTCCACAGTCCTCCTGTTTCATTCCCAAGTAGCTGGGGTTACAGGATGGAACCAGTGAACCAGGTTTGACTTCCTATTCCTTTTGTTTTGGGTTTTGTTGAGACCAGAGTCTCAACAAGAGTGGCTAGAATTCAAGATACTCCTTCAGTCTGTGAGTACTAGGAATACAGGCATACAATCAAGTCCAGCCTGATTTCCTAATTCATTCAGTTAACAACTGATATCTGCTATAATCTATGTCTGCTATAAGTCAGGTATTGTGCTAAAGCAAATAAACAAATACAGAAAAAAATTACACTATAATTAATGATGCTGATTCTCCAGCCACAGTAAATTTTAAATTAAAAAGAACTCTGAAAACTCAATATAGATAAAAGACAAAATTTTAAAGTCTGCAATTCTTGAGCAATTTAATAAGCTGGAGGCCAACAATTTAAGAGATTAAAATTTTAAACCCAGTTTCCAAATGTAGCACTGCAATTAATGCCACAATATAATCTGAGTAAACAAAACTGAATAGTAGTACAAAACTATTACTCTAGGATTCTGTTATAAAAGCCCATTCATTTCAACCCATTATAAGTAAAAGACTAAAACAGTTTTTACTACAAAATTAACAACATAAATACACTGCTTCAGGACACATATACTACATGTCACTGGGATTACAGGTGTGTCCCACCATTTAGGGCTGAAAACATTTTATTTTTTTTACACTTTCTTTGTTTGTGCTGATACTGGAGCTTGAACTCAGTGACTGAGTGCTGTCCCTTAGCTTTTTCCACTCAAGGCTGGCTCTTTACTACTTGAGCTACAAGTCCCCTGTCAGCTTTTTGGTTGTTATTTAGAGACAAGTCTCATAGAATTTCCTGCCAGAGCTGGCTGCACACCATAATCCTCAAATCTCAGCCTCCTGAGTGAATTACAGGTGTGAGCCATCAGTGCAGGGGACAGGAGAATTTTTTTTTTTTGGGGGGGGGTCAGGTCGTGGGGCCTTAACTCTGGGCCTGGGCCCTGTCCCTCAGCTCTTCAGCTCAAGGCTAGCACTCTACCACTTGAGCCACAGCGCCACTTCTGGCCTTTTCTGCTTATGTGGTGCTGAGGAATTGAACCCAGGGCCTCATGCATGCAAGGCAAGCACTCTACCACTGAGCCACCTTCCCAGCCCAGAGCTTTAATTCGACAAAATTACCTCTCCCCAACTTGTGTCATTACACCATATCCAATAGCCATTTACAGTGAATTAGCCCTACATATCCGTGCATGATAAAGTGGGCAACTGTCTTTGAAGGAGTTAAGTGTGAAGAACCAGGAGGTGCTGAAACATACCCTGTGTGTTGTGGGGGTGGACATCAGCGACAGGGCTACTGTTAGGAAAGCAGTCAATTAAAAATTCTAGATGCCTGAGATAACTTGACTCTTGCTCTTACAAGCAGAAAGATGGTGACCAACACAATTTCACTGATGACCCTATAAGCTTTAAACTCAAAGATAACCTGGGCCTTGTAGTAGCTAAAACGCTGTTGCACAACTATGTGCCTGTTTTACTCATGCTAGCGAGCACAGAGCTCTGATTCAGTAGGTGCTGAATGAAAACAGGTGCACAGCTTTTCAGAAGACACATGAGACTAACTCATCCTCCCTCCCCCCCCCACACACCTTGTTCCTTCCCTCCCTCACCAAGGAAGAATTTCAAGCCAGGGACAACGCACCAGCCTACAGGAGGTCATCCAGACCCCTTGGGTGGAGTCCACGCTCCGCTCATCTGGAGTAACTCACCCTACAGACACACGACCCTCTACAAAGCAGACTGCAAGAGTGACACCTCCTCTGCCCCGGTCTATCCTCCCTCCCTGGACCAGGGACGCATCCAAGGTCACCTCAGCGGGCAAGGGTGGAGGCCCAGGCCCTCCACCAGACCGACGGCCAGCGGCGTCTGACGGGCCCCGGCCGCCGGGCCCACGCCCGGGCCTTCCACTCAGCCGGCGCAAGGTCACGCGGGGCTGGGCTGGAGGCGCCCGGACGGAGAAGGCAGCAGGCCGCTCACAACCGCCCTGCCCACGCTGCCCAGCCCGGCCGCGGAGGAACGCCTGCACCCTGGGAGACCGAGAGCGTAAGAGGAAGAGGACGGCCAGGCCGGCGGGGGAGGCTTACCACGGCTCTCGGGCATACTCCTCCATCTTGACTCCAGACGCGCGGGTGACGCCGGGCCAGCGGGGCGGAAACTGTCCTCAGCGGCGGAAGTGATCCTGAGTGGGAGGGCGTTAAGGTCTACAGCGATTGGCTCGCGCTGTTTCCCAGAACAGCCAATAAAACGTGGGAATCCTGGGGGCGTGGCGTGGGCGTGGCCCGGAAGGCCGTGAGTCCGCTGTGTGCGCGCAGGCGCAGAGAAACTGCGGGACCGAGTTCAAGTTACTGTCCCTGAAGGTTCCGTGGCCTGAGTTAAACCTGATCTTAGTCCGCTAAGGTTCACTGGACTTGCTAAGCACTGTACGTTTGTTGTTGTTGTTGTTTTTTTAGGGGTTTTGCTGTGGCTGTTGATGTTTCTTGAGCTGTGAATCCTTAGCAAATACTCAGCTCCTTTAGGACAATTCCTTATCATCAGTGTCTGGAAAGTGATAAACAGTGTTTCTCAAATTGAAGTACTGGAACCGTCTGTGGCCAATTTGGGACCTTCGATTTGGAGGACGTTACCTCCAGAGCTTCCTCTGGCCCTCCTCATTAATGATCACTAGGAGGTGTAAGGGTGGTTTTGCCTAGAGACTGAAGGATTGGCTCTTTTTAGCTTTCAGTCAAAAAAAACCCAATCATGCTAGCTGTGAAGGGCGCTTTTGACTTTACAACGTGTCTATATTTGTATTGCCAAGGTCGCAGGACCCACCACAAGAAGACCACCGAGAGTCAGACTCTACAGCTGTTTTATTTAAACGGGCTGCAGCTCTGGCCTCTTCCTACACTCGACACAGTGGAGCCCAGGAAGAGAGCCCCGAGCTAAGGATTTGCAGGTCTTATATAGGCACACAATCAACCAGCTGTTTTGATTACCACCACGTGTTGCTTTGCTAAGCAACACCACACACGTGGTGGTCACTGCCTCAAACTTTAACCTTTCATATTTATTTTGACTTTCAGTTTAGTTTAGTTTTCAGTGCTGGGGAATCGAACCCGTGGTCTCACACATGCCAGGTCAGCGCTCTAACCATTGAGCTATAGCCCCTATATTTATTTTATGAAAAGTCACGCTAATACAAATAACAGACTGCACAAAGGGTGAGATATTTCCAAGCTCTTGGAAATAAGATAATTGAATTGAACCTGTAGAACCACAGATTATCCACAAAATGCTTACTCTGTCAGAAGAGCATATCAAACTAGTGACCTAAATGATGGAAGAGGTGACATTAATCAAGATGCATTGAACTCGTAAATTAACATGTTGAATTGAAACGCCTTTATACAACTACCCAAACATAATAAAATTAATTAATTAATTTAAGATGTGACCTGTACTGCATAGTGGGCCTTCATATTTTAGCACAGGAGATTGGTAGTCTCGTGGGACAAGGATGCTTTGTCTAGTCTTATTCAGGATCTTTTGCCTCTTTTTTTTGGGGGGGGTCCGGTCGTGGGGCCTGAACTCTGGGCCTGGGCGCTGTCCCTCAGCTCTTCAGCTCAAGGCTAGCACTCTACCACTTGAGCCACAGCGCCACTTCCGGCTTTTTTCTTTTTTGCTTCTGTGGTGCTGAGGAATCGAACCCAGGGCCTCAGGCATGCAAGGCAGTGCTCTACCACTGAGCTACCTTCCCAGCCCCCTTCTTTTGCCTCTTAAAGAAGGTATGTGTAGTTGCTAAGAGCTGAACAATTAATTAGGTATCATTAACTCACAGTTGACAGAGCTCTTTGTCAGAGATTTTTGCTGTTCCTTGGCCGCAAGAACCCAATCTCTTCCAAGTTCTTATTCCATTTTCATTATTCACTCTTCTGAGTAATGCCCTAGCCTGTGCTCTTAACTTTTCTTGTCCACTGGTTTATTAATATTGGTTTATACATCTGCCTCGTGTGAGCTTGGTTTTTTGTTTTGATTCAATCATCAGGAATAGTTAGGGTTCTCCAAAGAAACAAAGTCAACAATTGATCAATCAATTGATAGATAGATGATAGATAGACCAACAGAGTTGACTCATGTAACTATGGAGGCTGAGAAATCTCATGATATATTTATCTGTTAGCTGGAGACTATAGAAAGCTAGTGGTGTAATTCCATCCACGGCCAAGTAGCTGAACGACCAGAGAAGCCACTGGTGTAAATCCTAGTCAAACTACAAGAGAAGATGAGAAATCTCAAGTTAGTAGTAATTGGGGAAAGAAGGGAGAATTTCTCCTCCACCTTTTGTTCTATTCAAACTCTCAATGGATTGGATGGATGATTCCCAATCACATCTGGCAAGGAAGTCTACTGAGTCAATTCCAACGTCATTTGCATGAACACACTGGCCCACTCTAGTTGACATAGAATGAGCCATCACAGCAAAGGCATTGAGCTCCTGAGTTTATAAGGATAGGCTATGGTTGTTCAACTGACTTCATTCCAATAGCCCTTACCCTAAAAAGAGTTAACTGTTACCTGTTAACTTTTATGAGAGACTTTGCTAAAGTTGCCATCAGTCTTAGACTTCTCATTTTCTGCTCTCTGTGTGTGTGTGTTGGTTCTGAGGCTTGAACTCAGGTCCTCGGCTCTCTTCTTGAGCTTTTATGCTAGTGTTCTACAGCTCAAGCCACACCTCTACTTCAGCAATTTTTTTTTCAGAGCTCAGGTTCAAATGCTCCCCATTTCCTCTTTTTTTTTTTTTTGCAGTCAATTGGTAATTGGAGATAAGAGTTTCACAGATTTTTTGCCTAGGCTGGCTTTGAACCATGATCCTTACATCTCAGCATCCTGAATAGCTAGGATTATAGGCATGAACCACCATCGCCCAGCCATAAGTACTTTCTATATACTCATTGTCCATTTCTTAAAGTTCATATAGGTGAAATGTCTAGGTCACATATCACAGATCTGAGCCCTTGTCCTTTGACCACAGAGCCTACTATCCTCTGTTCCTGAAATTTTCCTTTGCTGGTTCTCCACTCCCTACCCCTTGAGAGTCCCCTAAGCATGAATGGGTTCTGAATCCTCATTGTCCCTTGCCCATCCCACCACACATTGAATGGAGCTTAAAATATCTTTTTTCTTATTTCTTTCCATCCTTCTAGCCACAAGGCTTGCTTTTGCCTGAGCAACAGGCCAGCCCACAATCCAGGATCCCAAGAATGAATTGTTTTCAGGTGGAAGTAGATTCTGCACTCAGAGTGCTTTGGTTATTTTATGCACAGGCTGGCCTGGGCTGTCATCCTTCTATTTCTGTTTCCCTCATAGTTGACTGTGCCCAGTCATTGGTTAAGGCAGAGTGTTAACTTTCCTGCCTCGGCTGGCTTCGAACTATGATCCTCAGATCTCAGCCTCCTGAGTAGCTGGTATTATAGTCTTGAGCCACCAGCCCCCAGCCTCTGAAAATTATTTCTTAGTGAAGGATTGAGTTAGTCAACTTTTATGTTTCTGTGACAATACTTGACATAATATAATGAGGCGGGGTTTATTTTGGCTCATAGTAGCAAGATTTCAGTCCCTAGTCCCTGGTTCCATTAATTCTGTGTCTGTGCTGAGGCAGGACATCATGGCCGCCGGGCCCTGGGGCAGAGGCTGCTGTCCACCAACAGGAGGCAAAGAGAGGGAAGGACCAAGGACAAGGTGTGAACTTCAAACTCAAGTCCCTTGTGACCCATTTCTTTTAGCTGGGACCTACTTCCCAAAGTCTCTACTATCTCCCAAAACAGTGTCACCAGCTGGGGACTAAAGCAATCAACACATGAACCTATAAGAGTTCATATTCAGGGGCTGGGAAGGTGACTCAGTGGTAGAGCGCTTGCCTTGCATGCATGAGGCCCTGGGTTCGATTCCTCAGCACCACATAAGCAGAATAAAGCCGGAAGTGGCGCTGTGGCTCAAGTGGTAGAGCGCTAGCCTTGCACTGAAGAGCTGAGGGACAGCGCCCAGGCCCAGAGTTCAGGCCCCATGACCGGACCCAAAAAAAAAAAAAGAGTTCATATTCAAACAGTACGGACTTGTCTTCACAGTTAGATCATAGGCTCCAAAATGGCGGAGAGGGCACTGATTTGTACTTTAGTCATGCCTCCTGCTCTCAGGAGCACATGGGGGCATTCCAGAAACATCTGCTCAACGGCTGGTCAACACTGGACAATATCAATACAACTGCCAGGATTCTCTAAGCCCCTCTCCCACTCTCCTTCTCGGGTCTACCTGCCTCCCATCTGTCCTCCTGTCCCTGCAGTCTGCACCCGTCCCCCCATGTTAACCTTCACCTGAAGGCTAATGGGACGGCCAGGTTTTAGTCCAGACGATCTGTAGACTCAGCAAATGCTGATCAAGTGACTGCCTCTCTCTCTCTGGCTTAGGGTGGACAGACGCCAGGAAAGATCGAAGCATCTACCCTGATGGCTTGGTTACAGCAGGGCTTCTAGAAGGGATTTTGTGGCAGGAGGGAGGGGGCAGGAGATTGAATGTCTCTGAGACTTGCGCAGAGCAGCTTGACGGATGAGCAGTGGATAGCCCTAGCGTGAAACACGCCAGACCTGCTGCAATCGTATCTCCCAACAACCCAGAACTGTGTTTTCCTGAAGACGAGCTACAGCGTGCTCTGGATTTACATGTGGGTAGTGTCTGTGGCTCCTCCTCCACTCTCCCTAGGGAGATCTGTTTACAGATGCCCAGGGGAGGAGGAAGCAGGTAGGGACTGAAGGATGACCAGACTCCCTTCCCAAGAGCCAAGCTCTGTGGAAATGGACAGCCTTTTACATTTCAATTCTCTTCTTCAGAGTTCCAGTTTTCAGTTGGAAGGATTCTCTCTCTATACTCTCCTCTTCTCAACTTTTCTCTCTTCTCTCCTTTCCCTTCCTCTTCCTCCTCCTCTTCTTGTCTTCTTTGTCTTCACTCTCTTCCTCTCTCTCTCTGTCTGTCTGTCTCTGTCTCTCTGTCTCTGTCTCTCTGTCTCTGTTTGTCTCTCCGTCTCTCTGTGTGTGTCTCTCTCTCCAAAGTAGCTATGCTGTGTGGATGGGGCCAGAGCCTCTGATAATCAGTGTCCAGGTTTAGAAGAAGATGGACAGGCTGTGTGATTAGGAGAACCCCTCTCATCTGGAATTGTAATTCTCTTTCCTCCCCCACCCCCCCAGCCTGGGCTGTAAACACCTGGGAGTCCCCAAGCACATTACCAAATACAGTAGAAAAAGAGTCAAGGAACGAAGCAGTGGCTACAGCAACATCTCTCCCTGTGATAGGAAAGTAAAGAGTGTACTGGAACGGGGCCTGGCCGCAGGCCACCCCATTTACAACCCCCCAGGGCCCCATTCCTGCTTTCCTGGGTCTCTATGGCTGTGGTCGGCTTCTGCCAGCTTTCTACATTTTTGTATCTTTTTCTCATTGCGTGGCCCCCTTGTCTTTAAAAGGCTAAACTGCTCTGTACTAAATTTGGTCACGCAGCGCTCCAAGATTCCCTGGAATGTCCTCAAGTTTCAAACAGCTCTGACAGTGAGGCAGGCCCGCCCCCCGGCTTGGGGATTGGCTCCTCTGCTTGGGGCCAGGCAGCTGTCTGGTCTTATTGGCTGCTGGTTAGACCAGGGCAACGTCCACTAGCCTTGGGCGGCAGGGAGGCTGTTGCTGGATCCACTGAACACCTGTGACAAGCCAGGGCCAAGGAACTGCAGTCCTCAACCAGCTGGAGGGTTTGCACCCAAACTCGTTAAGCTCCATCTCCAGACCATCATCCCCGGTCCCTCCCCACCCCACCAGCACGCCTTGTAACCCCGGCAAAGCGCTACAACCACTTCACCAAGATGTCCAAAGTAGCCAAGTATCGCCGGCAGGTGAGTGAGGACCCCGACATCGACAGTCTGCTGTCTACCCTGTCCCCTGAGGAGATGGAAGAGCTTGAGAAGGAACTGGATGTGGTGGACCCCGATGGCAGTATCCCCCTGGGGCTGAGGCAGAGGAACCAGACGGACAAACAGTCCACGGGTGCCTACAACCGGGAAGCCATGCTCAACTTCTGCGAGAAGGAGACCAAGAAACTCATTCAGAGGGAGCTGTCAATGGATGTGAGTGACTCACCGGGAGGGAAAGAGGACGGGAGGGCTGGCTTCGGACCCTCCATCCGTGTCTACAATCTTTCTTTCCCTAGAAGAAAAATTCTTATTGGCAGAGGATTAGATGCTTCCCAACTCATTATTGCCCACTAAACAAACCATGTGATTCTCTTGCTCCTAACTTCTGGTTGACAAGCAGAAGTTAGATACACAGGGGGAAGCCAAGAAGAGTTCATGGTCAAATTGAGTCCATATGAGTCCCTCAGGATCTGTTTTTTCTCCCTTCTCACATCCATCCCATATTCAGTGGGGAGGGAGGGATAAAAATGATCTAGCAATCTCCTGCCAGCCAGCCACCCAAGAAGAGAAGGCTCAACCCTTCTATGGGAGAAAGATTCATTGTCCAGTGACACTAAAGCGCATTGACCATTGGAAGAACTTGGAGGGGAGATGAAGTTCCCCAAGCAAAGGGAGAAGGGCCAGGGTGTGTAGGCTGGGATTTGTCTCAACCTGATAGCTTGCATTTTATTCCCAGCAGAAATAAGGTCCTTTTGTCCTTCTCTTCCTTCCTTCCTTCCATCCTTCTTTTCTTCCTTCCTTCCTTCCTTCCTTCCGTCCTTCCTTCCTTCCTTCTTTCCTTTCTTCCTTCCTCCCTCTCTCCCTTCTTTCCTTACTCCCTCCCTTCCTTCTTTCCTTCCTTTCTTCCTTCTTTTGTTCCCTCCTTCCTTTCTGCTCTCTAGAGGATCCTCTCAAGGGAGCATCTCCCTACTTGTGGTGGCAGTAAGTCCTTTACAAGCCAGCAACCACTTTGTTGGGATAGAGCCACTTGAGCAGAGAAGCTAGAGGAGGGAAAAGCAGTGTCCACCCAGAAAGCGTCTGCCTACATCTTGGATGAGATGAAGCCCAAACTTGCTTTCTGCTTTCCTGGTTGGCATGGAGAGATCCTTTTTTCTTTACAAGTATTTTCATGTCTAAGTTTTCTTTGCACAAACTAAGCTAGCTGACTTTGTGGAATCTCAAGCTCTTGTCCATGGGAAAGAATGCCCGTGGGAAAGTTGTTCTCTGTCTTTGTACTGGGTCTCTTCTGCTCAGCCACGTCTCTGGTACATTATCCATTGCTTGTGAGTTGCCATAAGGAAGATAGAGTTCAGCTTCAATTCTTTGTCCTTTGCTTTACTGCTATGGAGCTGCCAAGGACACATTCATTCCCATTGGAGGAATTGAGAGCATGAATGTTATGATCTGAAACTTCTGTGTAATGTCTTCCTGGGTGTGAATTATATGGACCGCTGGCCAGAGTGAGCTGGGGGACACAGGCCTGATGCCTTGAGAGCAAGGATGGGAAGAGATATGGAAATCAGGAGGGAGAAGGGCCTGAGGCAAAATAAGGGGCTGAGCTGGCGCTGTCTGTCTCTGCCACCCACTCAGCCCACATTTAAGGCCTCACCAAGAGGTAGAGTATGGGAAGCCAGGGGACTCGGGAATTACTATCTTGTGGGTAAGATGGCTGCCCTGGACTCATGTATATGAAAACATTTGTGGGGGAGAAGTGACAGGCCTTCCTATGAGGGCCTGGTATCTTCTGAGAGCTATCAAGAAGGAGCTCCCAGAAAGCACTGGAATTCAAAGGCTTTGACACCTCTATGGCTCTCCTTCTCTCCCAAATTGGGCCTCAAACATTCACTTTGAGCTTGGCTCTGGTCTTCTCTATCACTCCAGTCTCCAGGCTCCGACCTGTAGCTGCCTTGTATTTATCCAGCGGCTTCTGGAGGCTGAGGTCAAACGGAAAACTTTGTGTGTGTGTGTGTGTGTGTGTGTGTCTGTGTGTGTGTCTGTGTCTGTGTGTGTGTTTGTATGTGTGTGCGTGTGTGCTATTGAGACTCACACTCATGTACATGCTAGTCAAGTGTTCTACCCCTAAGCTATACTCCCAACCCTAAATTGAATACTCTTCATCACAAAGCAAAATGTTTAGACTATATAAAGGCAAGTGAGTCTCATGTTCCAGAAACTTTCATCTCCAGCTTTTCTGCTCCAAAGTTAATGCTCTGGGCCCTCAACACACACCTCTTCCTGCCTGGGGCACTCTTTGTTTCTGCAGATAGAACCCAAGTCAGAGACCCGAGGGTGGAGTGTGTGTGTGTGTGTGTGTGTGTGTGGTTGTTTTTAGGACTATTTTTTGTCTCACAAGGATAGGACATTCTGATTCCCTCACCCTTCCTCACATGGGCCAAGGACACAAATTGGCATAATGGCTGGCTAGAGCTCAGGATGAACAATGGACCATGGGCAGAAGTCATCTTTGTAAATCTGAGGGAATAGAAATGAACTGTAAAAGGTGGCCTTCTTAGCATCATTAACAAGATAGAAGTATGGGGATGGGGGGAGAGAAAGCAAGAGAGAGAATTATTCTGAGCAAAACATCATCTGAAATACCATGATGAAAACCCTTGGTTCAATTAATACACTCAAGAAAATAAAATAAAACTCAGAGTGACAGGAAGGTAAAAAGCTCAGATGCAGGGGTCACCAGCAGAAAGGGGGGGCGGCTGACAAAGAGAGGGAGGGTGAAATGGTGGAAACAGTTTGCATGGGTGAAATAGAACAATGAAATCTGCTGGGATTGTTTTAAGAAGCAAGCGAAAGAAGGGCAGAGTGACGGAAGGGATGTTGGGATACACTGGACACGTGTGGAAATGTCCCAACAAAACTTCCCTTGCACAGCTAATGTATGCTGAAAACAATGTATAAAGTTCCAGACTTGCTTCGAAGTATCAGGAAAACCTAGTATAGGACCAGTGTCCCTTACTCTCCCTGTAACTGGGTCATCCACAAGGGACCTGAGCCTGAGGGATGATAGCATAGAAAAAGAATTCACTTAGGGCTGGGTGGGCAGCTCATGCCTGTAATCTTAGCTACTCAGGAGGCCGAAATCTGAAGATCGCAGTCCGAAGCCAGGTCCTGAGTTCAAGCCCCACAACTGGCACACAAAAAAATTCACTTGGGGCAAAGGAAGCCAGAAATTGGTGAAATGCTCCTGCCCTGCCCTTTCTGCCCCTTAGGAATCTCCCAGGGGCTCTGCAAACAAGCAAAGCCCAGGTGCTTAGAATAGAGACACCCCCTTCCACAGTCACATGACTAACTGCAGTGCTCACATCTTGAACCTCCAGCCAGATAAGGCCAGTGACAGGGGCCACACAGGAGCAAGCTCACTAGGTGCTCTACACACCCAGCACACCCCCCTGCTCTTTTATGTAAACCTCACAAGCCTTGGGAGATAGGTATTTTTATATTTGCTATAAAGATCAGGAAAATCTCGGAAAGGGTAACTGTCCCAAGATCACGTGGCTAGTAAGTAGCTGACCGGACTTAGAAGTCTGAACTTCCCTCCTCTTCGTCTCACTGCAAATAGGTTTGTATGCCCATCCTTGCTCTAGAGAATTTATAAGCAAATTGGGGTCAGAAGTGAGTATACATGGAGCCACCACAGAGGTGCCACAGGCCAGTGACTGCGCCCCCAAATGTGGTCACCCCAACAAGTACTGGAAGGCTGATCTCTCTGGACCCATAGAAAGACCTTCACTATTTGAACAAAATGAGGATTCAAAAACATACTGAGTGATATTAGAAAAAAAAATTGTGCCAGTACTGGGGCTTGAACCCAGTGCGCTGTCCCTGAGCTTGTTTGCTCAAGGCTAGAACTCTACCATTTGAGCCACCACTCCACTTTGACTTTTTAGTGATCAATTGGAGACAAGAGTCTCACAGACTTTCCTCAGTACTTTAAACCAAGATCCTCAGATCTCAGCCTCCTGAGTAGCTAGGACGGCAGGTGTGAGCCGTTTAAAGTGCCCACTTAATTTTTTTTTTATTTAATTAAACCCAAGGTGGTAGGCAGGACATGTGGGTCACAGCTCTGGCTTTTCCTGGGGAAAGCTATCATACTAAGTGGGTCTAGACTGTGGAAGGGAGCAGGGCCTGCTCCCCCATTAATGAGTCTCTCCAGGAATCTTCTGGACTCTAAGCTTGTTCCATGATTCCCTGGATTCTTTGTGTGGTCACCCCCTATTTGCCCTTGAGTCTCTGAGCTCCAGTTAGGTTGGATACCTCATCCGGGAACTCCAATACCACTCAATCCTACCATTTAGCACAGGATTTGGTGCCGGGGTGGAAGGTGGAGGGGGCGCAAAGGAAGGCAGGTTGCTGGGGATAGAACCCAGGGCCTGACGCATGCTGAGCATACTCTGCCACTGAGCTACATTCTCAGCTCCTCCTTATAAGTATCTGCTTGCCTGCCTGTCTCCCCTACCAACTTCTAAGACTCTGACGGGCAACTGCCTACCCAGGCCCAGCCCAGGGAACCAGTGAGCAATCAGCTAGCAGGGGTTAGGGCGAAGCTGGGGGTAGAGGGTTTCTTGCCCTTCCTGGAAGGGGGCAGAGCTCACAACCAGGGGCTTTCACCTGGTCCTCTGGGAGTTCTTGCTCGGCCAAGCAGAGGACAGAGACCCTGGGCAGGGCAGCGGTGGTGTGAAACATCTATCCTTGGCTCAGGTTTCAGGAACCAGATCCCAACGGGTCAACTCATATGTTTTCTCCCTTCCCAAGTGGGAAAGAAAACTCTCCCCCTTGCCACCCCCATCCTTCTCCTCGAGGCCAGAGGGACTAAGGATTAGCACCTGCACACAGCCAGGGCCAGGGGCAGGGGCAGGGGCAGCTGAGCTGGGGAGGTGGGGTGGCGCCGGTGGATGAAGCTGTTTTAGGTCCTCCCTAGAGGACCTAAGAAGCAACCCAAACACCTCATTCCCAGGCCGGAGCCTCCACCTCCACAGCCCCCTCCCCACCAGTCCCCTGGTCTCTGCAGGGCTGGTAGAGCCAGAGACCAGGGTGCCAACCCTCAGAATGCCCTTTGCAGAGGGCTGGGCTGATCAGGAGTATACCAGACTGCACGACTTACTGCTTAAAGAGATTAACCCTGACTGCTACACACCCAAAATAGCACTGGAGGCCAGGGC